TGAGACAGAGTCTTGCTCTATTACCAGGCTGGAGTGTAGTGGCATGATCCCGGCTCACTGCAACTTCTGTTTTCCGGTTTCAAGCAATTCTCCTGCCTCAGCCCCCTAAGTAGCTGGGACAACAGGCACGCACCACCACGCCCGGCTAATTTTTTGTACTTTTAGTAGAGACAGGGTTTCACCATGTTCGCCAGGATGGTCTCGATCTCTTGACCTCGTGATCTACCTACCTCGGCCTCCCAAAGTGCTGAGATTACAGGTGTGAGCCACCCCACCCGGCCAGTAGCACTTCTGTTCTAACAGTGAATAATCTGAAAAAGAATCCCACTTACAATAGATACAAATAAAATACCTGTGAATTAACCTAATCAAATTAGTGGAAGATCTCTACAATTAAAACTATAAAACACTGATGCAAGAAATTGAAGGGGCCACACACAAAAATGAAGATATTCCATGTTTATGAATTAGAAGAATCAATATCATTAAAATGTCCATACTATCCAAAGCAATCCCTATCAAAATACCAATGGCAGTCTTTATAGAAACAAACAAACAAAAATAAGTAAACTATCCTAAAACTTCTTTTAAAACCAAAAGACCCAGGATTGCCAAAGTTATCCTAAGTAAAAAGAACAAAACTCGAAAAATCCCATTACCTGACTTCAAATTATACTACATAGCTATAGTAACTAAAATGACATAGTACACGCATAAAAACAGACATATAGATCAGTGGATCAGAAATAGAGAACTTAAAACTAAATCTATACATCTACTGTGAATCCATTTTTGACAAAGGAGCCAAGAACATACACTGGGGAAAGAACAGTCTCTTCGATAAATGGTGCTGGGAAAACTGGATATCCATATGCACGAGAATGAAATTAGATCCCTCTCTCTCACCATATATTTTTAAAAATTTAAATGGCTTGAAGACATAAATCTAAGACCTCACACTATGAAACTACTACAAGAAAATATTGGGGCAACTCTCCAGGACATTAGAATGAGCAAAGATTTCTTGAGCAATACCACGAAAGCACAGGCAGCCGAAGCAAAAATGGATACGTGGGATCACATCAAGTTAAACCAAAGAAAACGTAGCAAAGGAAACAAAGTAAAGAGACAACTCACAGAATGGGAGAAAATATTTGCAAACTAACTGTCTGACAGGGGATTAATAGCCAAAATCTAAGGAAAGCAAACAACTTTATAGGGGAAAAATAATCCAGTTAAGAACAGACAGGTCGGGCACGGTGGCTCACACCTGTAATCCCAGCACTTTGGGAGGCCAAAGCGGGCAGATGATGAGCTCAAGAGATCGAGACCATCCTGGCCAACATGGTGAAATCCCGTCTCTACTAAAAAATACAAAAATTAGCTGGGCGTGGTGGCGTGTGCCTGTAGTCCCAGCTACTCAGAAGGCTGAGGCAGGAGAATTGCTTGAACCCGGGAGGCGGAGGTTGC